TTAGAGAAATTATAATTAATTCAAAGTGTTTTCACTGCATTAGACATTAATTTGCCATTATTTGAAATGCAATATTTCCCAACTTTTAAACAATAAATAGTACAAAATAAAGATTAGAATGCCTGTAAATGGCAGTGTTTAAGAAGGGAATATCAGTCGATTAGTCCAATTAATGAATTATGTCCACACGTTGACTAGCAGACGACGCACATGTGATTTAAATTTCAAAAAGAGAGAAATGACAACATAAGCACAAATAAATCGACTCTTTTTGTAATTATAAGAGTTTCAAGATACCAAACTGCAATCGAGCCTATTAAGTTTCTGAAATTTGATTGCATTTAAACATTTATCTTTCTTGCTTCGATCATATCGACAATGTATTTATTACAAAACATTCTTTGCAATTCAGTATGATTCGGTCTACTTTCGCCTACAGTCCCTTTTGAGAAATAGTGATGTGGTGTGTAATGTGATAGAAAGTCAAGAATAAAATATTTTGTAATAATATTGTGAAGAGGATAAACTAGAAACAGATATTAATATCAAGATATTAAAAATGCAACTGATCTAAAACAACAAATAGTTATAAGGGATTTATAAAAGAAACTACACGGCCTCCTGAGTGGATTCCAATTGTTGTTCAGTAACACTAGACCACTGATCATACCAAACACTAGGATTGCCAAACACAACTATCAAGTTAATTATTTAACAGACTTTCTTAATTCAAGATAACATAAGAGGAAAATAGGCGATGAGTCAATGTGTGAACCCAGGTTGTAGAGGTAAATGTACCACAATGTATCGACTGGATGTTGATGGTTCAATGTGCAATGTGACAATCGTTGGAGTTTGTTGGAACATGGGACAACATTTAAGCAAGAATTAAAACTTTTTAATTTTTATTCACTGCCAGAATTATCTTTTTCATAAATTGTTGTGAGATTTATCTTTGTTATTGAGACTGTGCAGTTGATCCACTCGTAACAACTATGCTATTTGTAAGATGACATCCACTCTGCAGAAAATCCCACCATATTTAACCAAAACTATACTGATATGTATATTTCATTTAAAGAAAACAATCTTGTACCTACAATAGTGTGTGTGTGTGTGTGTGTGTGTGTGTTTCTGTGTGTTTCTGTGCGTGAGGGGGGGGGGGGGGGGGGGGGGGGGGGGGCTGAATGTGTCTGTGGGAATGTATTTCTGTCTCCTTATTCCGATATTTACAATAACATTACCTTGTATATTTTATGCCGTTAACAACATTATGTCTCTCATAACCATCTCGGTATTATGCTACTTGTCGTCAATTTTGGGGGTATTGTATTGCACTCTAATTTATTTATTGCCTGGGGGAGTCCGCAATGTAACTGAAGGGAGTAAACTGAAAATATCCCTGGTGCATAAGGTTGTGTTGATAACGCTGAAGGCAAAATACACTTTAGGCGAGTGTAGACGACGCACTGGTGCATAAAGTCATGTCTAAAGTGGCTTTGATAACCCTGCAAGCGAACTGCACTGTTGCGAAAGTAGACGACGCCCTTGGTTTCACAGGAGGGAATTGAAGCTATTTTTAATAACACACTTCAAGGTGTGAAACGATTGATCAATGCCGCATTTGGCGTTTCATTTAAGAATTGACTTCCATTTTACGTAAATTTGTTGGAGTATGAACCTTCATAGAGCGAGGGCCAAACTGTATAAACGTCAGAGCATTCACAAAGCGAAAGTCAATTCTTATAATTTTATATCAGTATTTTATACCTCGCGGGATGTAGCGCTAGATCTATACGTGTGACCTCTTGTTTACACAGACAGCCATACAACAAGAAGCTGTACCGCGGAATAAAATATTCCCCCCAAAAGAGAGGTCACATGAGCGTATGCTTGCTCATATTGCTTTTCAGGAACATCTGTTTTAGTTTGTTTTAAAAAAAAATGTACTCCAATAAAATCCCCATTAGTCGAGAAAGGTCAGTTAAGAACTACCCCAGTTCGTCAGTCACGACAAAGCGTCGTAATACATTTACATCAAGTACAAGACGTCAAAATGGCCGACACGATAAACATGGCTGGAGAGATTTCCGAAGTCGTTAATGAACCTGTGGCCAAGTGATAGTCATGATTGATCAATTGGCCGATCTTCGAAGGGTGATTGTAACGATGAGTCAATTAGATACAAACGTACATTCATAGATTGCTATGGACTGGCACAGCGAAAGTTTTGATGTGTTTTTCATCGTTTTGTTCTCTAAGATGGGTTGGATATCCTTGAACGGGCATGCAATCAACTCTCCGACGTACCCCAATGTATGCTGAAATGCTAAGTTCAAAATATAAGGGTCTAAATGATGAGAAACGACGCTTATGTATGTACTTCGTGCTAGGGAATACAAGTTGTACAAGGCGGAGAAAAAAACATCGTTTTTCCGTGCATTTTACGCTTGAAAAACTCGACGCTTTTCCGGACACTTTCTGGACGCTCACCAATTAATCAATTTTAATGAAATTTCGTCGTTTTTCCGTCTGATGATCATATACGGAAAAACAACGTTTTCGGGGTTTGCAGTGATAGGTAAAGTTAGATGAAATGGAATTTAACGACGCGGCTAAGATTATTTCACCTACATTGCGACGCGGATGCACGTGTCTGGCTGTTTGTAGTAACCCATTCAGATAACATGCCGCAGTTTATCATGGATACCCCATTCAGACACATAGTACTGACTCCGATCAAACACGTCTTTGTTTTACCCATAATGAGTTACAGAAAGTACCAACTTGGTATGAGCCAGGGGATCGAACTATCGACCTTCCGCTCTCTTGGCACACAAGGACTGGTCGAGTTGGAGTCCGTATACTCCGACAGAGTGGAGAAGGATATTCATGTTAACCTGCGGCATGGTATCTCAGTGGACAGTGGACGGCAATAGTCCGGACTAGCAGCCGCATACACACTCACGCACGCACGCACGCACGCACGCACGCGCGCGCATGCGCACACATATACACGTGCAATAATCTTGAACGCGACGATAAAATCCCATTTCACCACACCTCATCTTTATACCACATGCTGTCAAGGCATAATTGTACTTTACTTTACTGTCTGCGTCAAGATCTCAAACAACTCCAACGAGTCAGGTCAACCCTGAGTGAAGATATAGACCGCCCAATCAATTTAAAGGATGAGGTGTTCTTGAGCGAAGCGTGAGAGAGTGAGTTTGGTTTTACGCCGCTTTTAGCAATATTCCAGCAATATCACGGCGGGGGACACCAGAAATGGGCTTCACACATTGTACCCATGTCGGGAATCGAACCCGGGTCCTCGGCGTTACGAGATGGCGCTTTAATCACCAGGCTACCCGACCGTCCCTCTTGTGTGAAGCATTTTGTACCGCCTCGATTCGGAAATTACATCTCAAACCGCCAAAGAACACAAATATACCATCCATATAACCTCTTTGGTTACAGATGCCATCACGCTCGAGACTTTAGACCGCTGTTATATAGCTGGAATATTGCTGAGGGCGGCGTTAAACAACAAACAAACTAACAAAAAATCATACTGATGGATGCGGAGTAAAATCCCACTTGTCACAATAACACCCATCACTGACGTTCAATGGATCACGAATCAATTTGAACCCCCCTACGAAATGTATGGGCATGTTTCTTTGTTTCCTGTATTCACATTTCAATGTCGCTGTTGCATGCATTTGACACCTGGTGACCATATTTGCATCATGTATTTCCAATATTTACATTTCCTATATTTGCATCGTTATTCATCAATTGGACACCCGTGGATCTTAGGGGCCGAAACAGCATACATTCGATGCGGCTGACATTTTGTATTGAGACTAGATATTATTGCAGCTACTGCTGCAAAACAAGAAAAAAAATGAATTTTTTTAAATTTATTTTTTTTTAATTAAAACTATAAGCCTAAATATTTCATTTAAATAGACATCTTGCAACAATCTACATTTTGTGGCAGACAAGTTCCGTTTTCCCTACCCGAAACCCTACCCCTCACCAAACTCTCACCCACCATCAACCTTTAAAAAAACATCTTTCAACAACATATTTTTATAAAAATATTTTTGGACAGAAAAAAAATAAAATTTTGAAGCGTTAAGTGGGTCCACCCCTTCTGCACCCATGATTGGTTGGTCAGGCTGGCTGACTTGGTTGATACATGTCATCGTATGCCATTTACGTAGATCGATGCGTATGATGTCAATCTCTGGATTGTCGGGTCCAAACTCGATTATTTACAGATGACTGTCATACAGCTGGAATATTGCTGAATGTGGCATTAAACAAACAAATACCATTAATCAATTCAGAGTAAGGGTTCCCTACCAGTCTACGAAGATGTTGCAATAGGCATTAGGTCATTGCGTTGCCATAACACATAGTGGACGATGCATTATCTCTTCGGATAACGTATTTACCATTTGTCTAAAATGCCTTAACTTCAAACAATTCATGGTATTATTCTCACCGAAGGACAATGAGGACACGAACAAGATTTATGAATAAAATCACCTGATGAAAGAGAAAGCATATACTCCCAAACGTTGTGTTCCTGATGAAAAAAAGAAGTTGACATCCATAAATTCCCTTCCGTATCTGTATCACATCTAAATGCCTTTCAAATATACAATCTAATTTCACAATGAAGATATTTGTAGTGAGCTGTGCCAAATAAATATATTCTTTATCTCTGACCCCGGATTCCTGGTTGTTACCCTTCTCGTTTTCATACGAGCATGTCAGTTTCCATGACACGGCTCAGCATATTGCGAAAGAGAAAGGAGTTGTGTACATCCCTGCACGCATAGCTATGTGTCATCCATTGTTATGCTTGGAGACGCTGTGCAATAAATAAAAGGACTCAAACTGAAATCATATTTCGCAATACCTCTTGATGATGTCTCCATGGAAATAATACGAAACAGTGTGCTATATAGGCGTGGTCACTTCACTGTCAGCATCAGAAGCATAATAGGGTTTCTAACTTGCCTCTGGATCCTGTCTGCCAAGAAACTGTAAACCGATAGAGATGAACTGCATCCTCATCGCCGCTTGTGTCCTAGGTAAGATTATTTTTTATCAGTTTCAGTTTGTATTTATTGACAGAAACAATGATTTGGAAATAATGAGGATGGGAAAAGTTTGATATGAATATAACTGCTATGAATGATTCTAAGTTGGAACTGCGCAAGAAATTATTAAAATCGTGGACATCCTAATGTATGGTATTTCTTCAACTCCTCATCTTGACAACAGTTTGACTGTTTGACTTATTTTTCACGTTTTTCGCGAAGACCTCGTGTCATCACTATTTGATATTGATTTTTAAACACATGCTCGTGATATGGTCGGGTTCGTATAATTGAATCTGCTTTTGGCAGATATGTCTTTAATGGAAAGGACCATGTCGTTTTTATTGCCTACTGAGAGGAATCGGCACATTATCTTAAAGTTTTGGTTTATGAAGAATTCAAACTGATCTTGGACTGGCAAACAACTAGGTCCAGTTGAAACAACCCTGCAGAACATATAATTGATGTTTTGTCATATTTTTTCAAATCTTTCAATCCAATTCTGAAGCTACTTAAACATAAAGTTTATGGCGTTTATTTAACGCTGGACCAAAATGTAAAACACGATTTTGAATACCATATGATGTATGTGATGGGCGGCCTGTCTAGTGTATTAACAGCATGATCCTTGTTGGTATAACATCGATGGGTTGCCCTCGATTTTACCTTCCGCTAAAGTAAATATTGATTTCAATCGATGAGGCATGTGGCAGCTAGGTTCGTGTGAGTTTGGGTAATAGTACCTTCAACACCAGAGCTGAGATTATTTCGTGCTGTGATGAAGATGTTACAGTGATCCACTATAAACAAATGTGTTTTAAAATGGAGCTTTTAAAACTTGTTTAGAATTTATGGGCTGTTAAAAGTTATGGGTCCTTCGTAGTAGTCAGACATAATTTCATTGTGAGCGTCTGCATGACAGATATTCTATTAGTCACATTTATGAGCCGAACACTTTCAAAAATTCGAGAAACGAACATGCTTCCTATTGATTTGTAGTCGTTCACGCAACCACCTATGCTACGACTGTTGTACCTGTCCTCTCTAATGTCAATATTCCTAGTCACTATTATCTTAGCTTGGTTTATTAGTACATTTTTATGTTAATATTGTACCAGGTGCGTTGTAAGTCCTGGTAGTATATGCGTTATGCAAGTGCCTGTTAATCTGCTTTGTGCACCTAATTTGGTTATATATATCTTATCCATATCCTGACCTTACACACCATGGTAGGTGCCATCCGGTCTATATACATCCAGGACAGTTGCCATCCTGACCATACACACTATGGTAGGTGCCATCCGGTCTATATACATGTACATCCAGGATAGTGGCCATCCTGACCATACACACTATGGTAGGTGCCATCCGGTCTATATACATCCAGGACAGTTGCCATCCTGACCATACACACTATGGTAGGTGCCATCCGGTCTATATACATCCAGGACAGTTGCCATCCTGGCCATACACACTATGGTAGGTGCATTCCGGTCTATATACTCCCAAGATAGTTGCCATCCTGACCATACACACCATAGTAGGTGCCATCCGGTCTATATACACCAAGGAGACCGCCTCCGTGGTCCAGTGGTAGAGTGTCCGCCCGGAGAGCGGAAGGTCCGGGGTTCGATCCCCGGCCGCGTCATACCAAAAGACGTTCAAAGAGGGTACTTGTTGCTGCCCTGTCTGGCGCTCGGCATTAAGGGGCTAAAACAAGGACTGGTCGGCTCGGAGTCAGTATACTGTGTCTGAGTAGGGTATTCATGTTAAAAACTGCCGCATGATATCTCAGTGTGCTAGCACTATAAATCGGCATCAGTCCGGATTAGTACAAGCAGCCACACAAACACACAAACGTACATGCACGTCGCTATATAAGTGCAATAATCTTGGACGCGACGTTAAACCCAATTTCACCTCACCTATATACACCAAGGACAGTTGCCATCCTGACCATACACATCATGGTAGGTGCCATCCGGTCTATATACTCCCAGGACAGTTGCCATCCTGACCATACACACCATGGTAGGTGCCATCCGGTCTATATACATCCAGGACAGTTGCCATCCTGACCATACACACCATGGTAGGTGCCATCCGGTCAATATACATCCAGGACAGTTGCCATCCTGACCATACACACCATGGTAGGTGCCATCCGGTCTATATACTCCCAGGACAGTTGCCATCCTGACCATACACACTATGGTAGGTGTCATCCGGTCTATATACTCCCAGGACAGTTGCCATCCTGACCATACACACCATGGTAGGTGCCATCCGGTCTACATACACCCAGGACAGTTGCCATCCTGACCATGCAAATACCGGTAGTTGCAATACGGCCTATATACACCCAGGACAGTTGCCATCCTGACCACACACATCACGGTAGGTGCCTTCCGGTCTATATACACCCAGAACTATTGCCATCCTGACCACACACATCACGGTAGGTGTCATCCGGCCTATGGACACCCAGGACAGTTGCCATCCTGACCATGCAAATACCGGTAGTTGCAATACGGCCTATATACACCCATGACAGTTGCCATCCTGACCACACACATCACGGTAGGTGCCTTCCGGTCTATATACACCCAGGACAGTTGCCATTCTGACCACACACATCACGGTAGGTGTCATCCGGCCTATAGACACCCAGGACAGTTGCCATTCTGACCATACACACCGAAGACAAATGACATCCGCACAAACCCCTTTAGAAAGCGAATAGCGAAACAACTGGATTTCTAGGAAGTAGCTTGTTTTAGGTGGATAATGGATTTTGTTTGACATGTATTTTTATGGATGGAGGCGCAGGTAAAGGTTCTAACACCATCATCAAGCAAGAACACAGTGTCAGAGCCTACACCGAAATGTGGCTCCTAATTGTAATGACGAATTTGTTTGACATGTTTGACAGGTATTTTGTGGATGAAGTATAATGTTTGACAGGTGTTTTGTGGATGAAGGGTAATGTTTGACAGGTTTTTTTGTGGATGAAGGATAATGTTTGACAGTTATTTTGTGGATGAGATAATGTTTGACAGGCATTTTGTGGATGAAAGATAATGTTTGACAGGCATTTTGTGGATGAAGGATAATGTTTGACAGGCATTTTGTGGATGAAGTATAATGTTTGACAGGTGTTTTGTGGATGAAGGGTAATGTTTGACAGGTTTTTTGTGGATGAAGGATAATGTTTGACAGTTATTTTGTGGATGAGATAATGTTTGACAGGCATTTTGTGGATGAAAGATAATGTTTGACAGGCATTTTGTGGATGAAGGATAATGTTTGACAGGCATTTTGTGGATGAAGGGTAATGTTTGACAGGTATTTTGTGGATGACGGATAATGTTTTGCCGATATTTGATGAAGCCATTACTTCAGAGTGATCATTAATCTGTTTCAGCTGCACTGTATGCAAGTGCGGACGGTGCCTGTAACTATTTGTCTTGCACTACAACTACAGCTACGTGCGAGTAAGAAAATATTGCTTTACTCATATTCATATTCTTCCATAACTTGCTGTTCTGTTCGAAAGTTGTTATTGACACAGACAATATACCTTTTTGTATATATTTTGAGTGAATGAATTGTATAAACATTATAAAGTCGGGGTCGGTGGTTAACGCGTTGGCTTGTCATGCTGTTCGATTCCCCACATGGGTACAGGGTGTAAAACCCGTCCGTGATATGGCTGGAAAAGTGCTTGAAACGGCGTATCACTCACTCACTAACATCTAATAGCTACACTCACTCACTCACTCACTTACATCTTATAGCTACCATCAGTCAATCACATCTTATATTTACACTCACTCACTCACGTCTTATAGCTACACTCACTCACTCACGTCTTATAGCTACACTCACTCACATCTTATAGCTACACTCACTCACTCACATCTTATATCTACACCCACTCACTCACATCTTATATCTACACCCACTCACTAACATCTTATATCTACACCCACTCACTCACATCTTATATCTACACCCACTCACTAACATCTTATATCTACACCCACTCACTCACATCTTATAGCTACACTCACTCACTTACATCTTATACCTACACTCACTCACTCACATCTTATAGCTACACTAACTCACTCACATCTTATATCTACACCCACTCACTCACATCTTCTAGCTACACTCACTCACTAGCATCTTATAGCTTCACTCACTCACATCTTAAAGCTACACTCACTAATTAACATCTTATATCTACACTAACTCACTCACTCACATCTTATAGCTACACTCCCTCACTCGCTCACATTTTAGAGCCACACTCACTCACTCACATTTTAGAGCTACACTCACTCGCTTACATCTTATATCTACACTCACTCACTCACATATCTTATGTCTACACTCACTTACACCTTATAGCTACACTTACTCACTTACATCGTATAGCTACACTCACTCACATCTTAAAGCTACACTCACTCACTTACACCTTAAATCTACACTCACTCGCTAACATGTTATAGCTACACTCACTCACTGACTCACATCTTATAGCTACACTCACTCACTCGCTCACATTTTAGAGCCACACTCGCTCACTCGCTCACATCTTAGAGCTACACTCACTCGCTCACATCTTATAGCTACACTCACTTACACCTTATTGCTACACTCACTTACATCTTATATCTACACTCACTCACTTACATCTTATATCTACACTCTCTCACTCACTCACATCTTATAGCTACACACACTCACTCGCCCACATCTTATAGCTACACTCACTTACACCTTATTGCTACACTCACTTACGTCTTGTACCTACACTCACTCACTTACATCTTATAACTACCATCACTCTCTTACATCGTATAGCTACACTCACTTACATCTTATAGTTACACTCAATCACTTACTTCTTATAGCTTCACTCACTCACATCGTATTGCTACACTAACTCACTCACATATTATAGCTACACTCAATAACTCACATCTTATAGCTACACTCACTCACATCTTATAGCTACACTCACTCGCTCACATCTTATATCTACACTCACTCACTCACATATCTTATGTCTACACTCACTCACTTACACCTTATAGCTACTCTCACTCACTCACATCTTATAGCTACACTCACTCACTTACTTCTTATAGCTTCACTCACTCACATCGTATAGCTACACTAACTCACTCACCTCTTAAAGATACACTTAATAACTCACATCTTATAGCTACACTCACTCACATCGTATAGCTACACTCACTCGCTCACATCTTATATCTACACTCACTCACTCACATATCTTATGTCTACACTCACTCACTTACACCTTATAGCTACTCTCACTCACTCACATCTTATAGCTACACTCACTCACTTACATCTTATAGCTACTCTCACTCGCTTACATCTTATATCTACACTCACTTACTCATATATCTTATGTCTACACTCACTTACATCTTATAGCTACACTCTCTCGCTCACATCTTATAGCTACCATCACTCTCGTAAATCTTGTAGCTACAACCTTTTACATCTTATAGCTACACTCACTTACTCACATCTTATAGCTACACTCACTCACTCCTTATAGCTACACTCACTCACTCACATCTTATACCCACACTCACTCACATCTTATACCTACACTCACTTACATCTTATACCTACACTCACTCACATCTTATAGCTACACTCACTTACATCTTATACCTACACTCACTCACTCACATCTTATACCTACACTCACTCAGATCTTATACCTACACTCACTGACGTCTTATAGCTACACTCACTCACATCTTATAACTCCACTCACTCATATATTATAGCTACACTCACTCACATCTTATACCTACACTCACTCACGTCTTATACCTACACGCACTCACTTCTTATACCTACACTCAATCACATCTTATCCCTATACTCACTGACATCTTATACCTACACTCACTCACACACATCTTATACCTACACTCACTCACTCACATCTTATACCTACAATCACTCACACCTTATACCTACACTCACTCACATATTATAGCTACACTCACTCACATCTTATACCTACACTCACACACATCTTATAGCTACACTCACTCACATATTATAGCTACACTCACTCACATCTTATAGCTACACTCACTTACATCTTATACCTAGACTCACTCACTCACATCTTATACCTACACTCACTTACATCTTATACCTAAACTCACTCACATCTTATACCTACACTCATTCACATCTTATACCCACACTCAATCACATCTTATAGCTACACTCACTTACATCTTATACCTACACTCATTCACATCTTATACCTACACTCACCTAATCTTATAGCTACACTCACTTACATCTTATACCTACACTCACTCACTCACATCTTATACCTACACTCACTTACATCTTATACCTACACTCATTCACATCTTATACCTACACTCACTTACATCTTATAGCTACACTCACTCACTCACATCTTATACCTACACTCACTCAGATCTTATCCTACACTCACTCACATCTTATACCTACACTCACTCACATCTTATAGCTACACTCACTCACATCTTATACCTACACTCACTCACATATTATAGCTACACTCACTCACATCTTATACCTACACTCACTCATATCTTATACCTACACTCACTCACCTATTATAGCTACACTCACTCACATCTTATACCTACACTCACTCACATCTTATACCTACACTCACTCACATCTTATACCTAAACTCACTCACATCTTAAACCTACACTCACTCACATCTTATACCTACACTCACTCACATCTTATACCTACACTCACTCACATCTTATAGCTACACTCACTTACATCTTATACCTACACTCACTCACTTACATCCTATAGCTACACTCACTCACTTACATCTTATAGCTACACTCACTTACTCACATTTATAGCTAAACTCACTCGCTGACATCTTATATCTACATTCACTCACTCATATATCTTATGTCTACACTCACTTACATCTTATAGCTACACTCTCTCGCTCATATCTTATAGCTACCATAACTTTCTTACATCGTATAGCTACACCTTCTTACAACCTATAGCTACACTCACTGACTCACATCTTACAGCTACACTCACTCACTTACTCCTTATAGCTACACTCACTCACTTACATCTTATAGCTACACTCACTCACATCTTATAGCTACATTCACTCACTTACATCTTATAGCTACACTCACTCAGTCACATCTTATAGCTACACTCACTTACTCATATATCTTATGTCTACACTCACTTACATCTTAAAGCTACACTCACTCACATCTTATAGCTACACAAACTTACATCTTATACCTACACTCACTCACTTACATCTTATAGCTACACTCGCTCATTTACATCTTATAGCTGCACTCACTCACTTACACCTTATAGCTACACTCAATTACTTACACCTTATAGCTACACTCACTCACTTACATCTTATAGCTACCATCACTCTCTTACATCGTATAGCTACACTCACTCACTTACATCTTATAGCTACACTCACTCACATCTTATAGCTACACTCACTTACATCTTATAGCTACACTCACTCACATCTTATACCTGCACTCACTCACATCGTATACCTACACTCACTCACATCTTATACCTGCACTCGCTCACAAGTTATAGCAACACTTACTCACATCTTATACCTACACTCACTCACATCTTCTACCTACACTCACTCACATCTTATACCTACACATCTTATAGCAACACTTACTCACTCATACACTCACATCTCACTCACTTCCAGTTTTATGACAGCTGCTTGTAAATACTTGAATCTGGTTAAGACCACGATGACACGTGACTATCTACCTCTGGATTTCACTTTTTATTTGCATTGGATAATGTCATAGTAAATCTGTAATCAATAGCATATTTAGTACACTATCCCGTCATCCACCACAGTGCTTGTCAGTCGCAATTCGCTGCGCAGACAGATTTATGTCTTCAGTTAAAGTTTGCCCTTGTCACCTTAGACGCCACGGTTCAATTCTCAAGGTTCGAATTAGAACTTCGAGGCTGAGTCAGGATTCATCTGTAGTGATATCGGGGGCACGGAGTTGCGTACCTTGGGCACGCCAGAAACCTATGATTGTGGGATCGAATCCCAGTTCGCCCTGATTATGTTTCTAGGTTTGTCAGCACCATACCCGTGCTCGTGGGTTTCACTGAAGAGGTAAACGTCTGAGACCTGCATCACTTCGGGCTTTCCTCCCACATTAAGCTGACACGCCGTGATATAACGTGAATACTGTTAAAAGCGGCGTTAAACCCAACTCACTCACTCACTCACTCACTCACTGTAGTGATACCACTGAAATAATTTTACAAGCGCTCAGGAAGCTGGTCAGCAGTAGAAGCAAACATAAAATATTTAATTCAAGCTGAGTGACCATGTACACAGTCGCTCCGAAATAGATGGATGCACTGTCTTACAGTCATGTCACAGCAACAACTTAGACGGGGTTTTACGTTCCTGCCATGAGAGCTGATCGGTCATTAAACATAAGCTAGAGAGACTGTAAAATGTTCACTTGCTTTCCACAATTATGTACGTTTTTTATACATATCTTTAAAAAAAAACTCTCAGAAAAAAATATCGGTGGACTTACTTATTATTTTAAAAATATGGATCGTTGCATGTACTGTCAACATCTTGTTTTCCTGGCCTCGCCTCGACTATTTACAGACCGCCGTGATATTGCTGGAATATTGTGGCGTAAAATCACATTCACTCACCGAGTCACTCTACTATTAACCCTCGGACGTTGTGACCTTAACCTCGCACATTTCAGGGCGTACACATCTTCCCTCGCGTGCATGAAAGACGCTCTCAGCGGCTGTGACGTACCGGGGCTGAAGACCACGATCAACAATGCAATAGCTGTTGCCACGACAACCATGAATAACATCCCTGGATGTGGTAAGCATAGCCTCCCTTAAAATTCTGTGTGACTTTGTCTCCCATACCCTAGAGAATATATATAAAAAAGAGTCCAATTCAAGTCTAGAATGCTGAGGCAAGGTTGAGGAAATTAAGGATTGTTCTGGGATCTATTTAGATTCTACTCTTTTTTGTAGATATATCTTTTCAGATGAGATAACATTATTCCAAAGACTAAATGTTAGTCTTCCCTCTATAAGGTTTGTTAAAATAAATGTCCTGATTTGTATTGTCGCGCGTCCCTAAAATTGTTATCTCCCTTTTTATATAATTATTATTTTGGAAGCACTGTTAACAAATGGTATCCTTGCTTATGTCTGGCTCATTAAGAGTTGCTGTAGCACATTTCAAATTGGTTTCTGGAATAGGTACCAATTGGGATAATCGTGTACTGATAACTGTCATTTATGTCCACTATGGAACCAAGTTTATTTCTGTGGTCACTTCCACCTCCCACCAGTTCTATGGGAACAGGAACATTATCCCCAGGTTGAAGTAAGACGAGCTCTATCATAATGGATGAACAACTTCTTTATTACAATTAGTGCGACGTTTCGGTGTAGATCCTATAGCTAACACCTTTATCAAGCAAGTGATGATCACTTGCTTGATAAAGGTGTTAGGATCTACACCGAAACGTCGCACTAATTGTAAGACGAGTTCTATGGATAAACAACTTCTTTATTACAATTAGTGCGACGTTTCGGTGTAGATCCTATAGCTAACACCTTTATCAAGCAAGACGATCACTTGCTTGATAAAGGTGTTAGGATCTACACCGAAACGTCGCACTAATTGTAAGACGAGTTCTATGGATGAACAACTTCTTTATTACAATTAGTGCGACGTTTCGGTGTAGATCCTATAGCTAACACCTTTATCAAGGAAGTGATGATCACTTGCTTGATAAAGGTGTTAGGATCTACACCGAAACGTCGCACTAATTGTAATAAAGAAGATGTTCATCCATAGAACTCGTCTTACTTCATCACACCAACTTCTAAATGCCACTGAAAGAAGTTATCCCCAGGTTGACCCGCAAATAACCGTATGCGGTCTCTCGTGACCATACGTTCAACTTGGGTGGGGCCACGGTTTTCATGTAACTGTGGAAAGGAAAATAGACCATTGTAACTTGGTCTCAACAATGAGCATCTAATTGGAGTAGTTAGCGAGTGTTGTTTGATCAAGGATTACGATACTGATGTGGTATCAGACAGGTAATGTAAAAGAGACACTAACATTGCTTTCAGTTCAAGAAATGACAGTCACTAAACAATTGATTTCACCTAATGACAAGCTGTATAGTCACTTCACGAAAAGACTGAAAGATTGAGCAAGTTCATGAAATGTTTGATTTCAGTCTGATTGTATAACACACACGTCATTCAATCTAAGTATACTGTTATATGTGTTTAACCTGCGAACCCTTCCACTCAGTCAATTTTGAAAAAAGTCATGTAAACCCAGAATATATTTAATCGAGCCTCATATGACAAGAATCGGCTGACCCGTACCTTCCGCTGTGTAGCGAACTCATCAATAAATTTGGAATGACGGAAACAGAGATACTTATCTCGGATGATCTCGCCACCTTCTGTTACATTATAGTTTTAGTGAGTGAGTGAGTGAGTGAGTATGGTCTTACGCCGCTTTTAGCGACATTCCAGCAATATCACGGCGGGGAACACCAGAACTGGGCTTAACACATTGTACCCCTGTGGGGAATCGAACCCGGGCCTCGGTGCGACGAGCGAATGCTTTAACCACTAAGCTACCCCATCGCCCCCATTATAGTTTTAATCTGACAAGGACAATTATCATTCTCGAAAAGTTCGAAATGAATTTGAAATGGATTTCGTTAATTACAACGATTGTACGTTGAACGATTAAACGAATAGCATGCACGAAGTAAGTTTTGCATGTGTACACATTTTCTCTCCAGGTGCTGATGCCGTGACAGGGAGCGTGGTGACCTTCGTGCTGTGTCTGATCTCCACCATCATTGGATCTAAGTAGCCTCAAGGGTTGAGAAACATCAAGAGATATAACTTTACCTAGGGCGATGTTAAGTATCTCCAACGATGCTAGTAGCGTGAAGCGATTTTTAGGGTAAGGTTCCGTATGTAAATGACGTCAAGGAAAGTAATTTAACGTCAGCCGATATCAAGTAACCTCAAGCGATGTTAAGTAACGTCAGCGATGTTAAGTAACGTCAAGCGATGTAAGTAACGTCATTGATGTTTAGTAACGTCAACGATGTTAGTAACATCAGCGATGTTAAGTAACTTTGGCGATGTTTAGTAACGTCAAGCGATGTTAAGTAACGTCAGCTAAGGTTTAATAACGTCAGCGATGTTAAGTTACGTCAAGCGATGTTAAGTAACGTCAGCGATATTAAGTTACGTCAGCGATGTTAAGTAACGTCAAGCGATGTTAAGTAACGTCAGTGATGTTTAGTAACGTCAAGCGATGTTAAGTAACGTCAATGATGTTTAGTAATGTCAAACAACGTCATGCCCTGATGCTCCTTCACGAGGATTTCTTTACACATTATAAATGTTTGTTTTCAATTTGTTCTTTTTACACTCATAATAGATACATGTACGTATGTAATCGTTTTGCGTGAACTTTGTGTGTTGTCATTGTTAGTGTAAAATATAATACATACTGAAGCGAGAATACGGGAGCCTTTTGGGGCCTTTCGTTCTTTTTTTCTTGAAATTTCAAGATAATAAGTTGATACATCAGTTGAAATTTCAAGTTAATATCTTGAAATTTCAACATATGTATCTTGAAATTTCAACGTAGCATCTTGAAATTTCAACATAGCCTAGCATAGATACTAACTTGAAATTTCAAGATACATAAGTTGAAACTTCAAGATACTAACTTGAAATTTCAATATAATGATCTTGAAATTTCAAGATAATAACTTGAAATCTTGAGATATTAACTTATGTATTAACTTATGTATCTTGAAATTTCAACATAGCATAACATAGATACTAACTTGAAATTTCCAGAAAAAACAAATGGCCCTGAAAGGCTTCCGTAAGAATACGGTAACGCACTGAAACCATTGAGTGAACATAACCGAATTAAGTAAAAAGTTCTTAATTTAACGGATTTTGTGCGTGAAATCTATGGCGACACGTCGACGGGGCTTACACCCAAGATTAGTCAATACAACTCAAATAATATGGGATTTTGATTTGTTTATTTATTTATTTGTTTGTTGTTTAACGCTGCACACGCGATATTCCAGCTGTATGACGGCGGTCGTCGATCTACGCAATTAGGAACGATGACATGCATCAACCAGGCCAGCCAATCTGACCACCCGATCCCGTTTGTCGCCTCAAACAACATGGGTTGCTGAATATGTATTCTCTACGCGGATCTTCACGGGTCGATTAACAAGGGAAGTACTTTTACATGTATGTCACTGTGACAAGGTTGTCCATAAAACATACCTACAAAAGAGTTAACTTGTCATTTGTACATTTTCTGTATATATGTGGGCAGGTATTAAAGAGACTTACACATTGACCCTATACACTGAGTGAGTTGGGTTACACGCCGCGTCGAACACTACTTCATGTATATCAGGGCGTGTCGGCTCAATTTGGAAGGAAAACTTTGGCGTTTTCGTAAAACCCAGGATATTGGTATGGTTTAAACATGTTAAAGCCATGTCGTTGTTCCATCCCTTCGTGATGTGTAGCATGCTAAGGAACAGACACATGCTAACGATTTGGTGCTGACAAACCAATGAAAAGCAGGGCGAGATTCGAACCGCGATCCACGGATCCTAACCCCGCTGAGGAACGCATCCCTTCACAGAGAATGACGGCACCTTCTGACTTGGTACCGATGTATTTATGTTTGGATCCGGGTATATCAAATCTCCACCAACTAATGGCTAAATTAAACCCTAATAGAGCATTACAATCCTGGGGATGGGAGGGTGTGTGTGTTCAATTAAAAGAGGGGCACGGTGGCCCAGTCGTCTAAGGCGCCGCGATTCGCTGTGCAGAGTTGCGTCCCTTGGGCACGCCAGAAACCTATGATTGTGGGTTCGAATCCCGGTTCACCCAGATTATGTTTCTAGGTTTGTCAGCACCATACCCGTGCTCGTGGGTTTCATCGAAGTGAGACCTGCATCACTTCGGGCTTTCCTCCCACATTAAGCTGACACGCCGTGATATAACTGGAATATTGTTAAAAGCGGCGTTAAACCCAACTCACTCACTCCATCAAAAGAATTTCGGATTGTGTTGTCTTGTAGCGATATGCTACTACCATCTTAAACAAATGTTGATAAAATACCTCTTGCTCTAGTGTTATTTTAATGTGCCAAGACAAAATTCAAGTTTAACGGACTCTACGAACATTCGTGACTAGGAAATTAAATCGTAACCTAAACATATCTAATATTTATAGCAATTGGATTATAACATATGTAACACTTTCTGTACGGAATAAAAAATATTTACTAGTATTCAGTTGTTCACAAGCGTTAATCTACACGTCTCTTTATCGCAACGATTGCATACGTAATCTATATTTAACGAAGATAACAAAACGGCATATGCTCACATGCTATTTGGCATAAACCCATGACAGGGCACAACCACAGCCTCAATTAAGAACAATTCAGTTTACAAATGTTGACGAGATGCTACATAATGTGACCGCCTCCGTGGTCTAATGGTAGAGCGTCAGCCCGGAGAGCGGAAGGTGCGGGGTTCGATCCCCGACCGCGTCATACCAAAAGACGTTAAAAGATGGTACTTGTTGTTACCCTACCTGGCGCTCGGCATTAAGGGATTAAAACAAGGACTGGTCGGCTCGGAGTCAGTATACTGTGTCTGAGTGGGGTATTCATGTTAAACTGCGGCATGATATCTCAGTGTGCTAGCACTATAAATCGGCGATAGTCCGGACTAGTACAAGCAGCCACACACACACACATACACGTGCATGCACGTCGCTATATAAGTGCAATAATCTTGGACGCAACGTTATATAACGGGGCGTCCAAGATTATTGCACTTATATAGCGACGTGCATGCACGTGTATGTGTGTGTGTGTGGCTGCTTGTACTAGTCCGGACTATCGCCGATTTATAGTGCTAGCACACTGAGATATCATGCCGCAGTTTAACATGAATACCCCACTCAGACACAGTATACTGACTCCGAGCCGACCAGTCCTTGTTTTAATCCCTTAATGCCGAGCGCCAGGTAGGGTAACAACAAGTACCATCTTTTAACGTCTTTTGGTATGACGCGGTCGGGGATCGAACCCCGCACCTTCCGCTCTCCGGGCTGACGCTCTACCATTAGACCACGGAGGCGGTCACATTATGTAGCATCTCGTCAACATTTGTAAACTGAATTGTTCTTAATTGAGGCTGTGGTTGTGCCCTGTCATGGGTTTATGCCAAATAGCATGTGAGCATATGCCGTTTTGTTATCTTCGTTAAATATAGATTACGTATGCAATCGTTGCGATAAAGAGACGTGTAGATTAACGCTTGTGAACAACTGAATACTAGTAAATATTTTTTATTCCGTACAGAAAGTGTTACATATGTTATAATCCAATTGCTATAAATATTAGATATGTTTAGGTTACGATTTAATTTCCTAGTCACGAATGTTCGTAGAGTCCGTTAAACTTGAATTTTGTCTTGGCACATTAAAATAACACTAGAGCAAGAGGTATTTTATCAACATTTGTTTAAGATGGTAGTAGCATATCGCTACAAGACAACACAATCCGAAATTCTTTTGATGGAGTGAGTGAGTTGGGTTTAACGCCGCTTTTAACAATATTCCAGTTATATCACGGCGTGTCAGCTTAATGTGGGAGGAAAGCCCGAAGTGATGCAGGTCTCACTTCGATGAAACCCACGAGCACGGGTATGGTGCTGACAAACCTAGAAACATAATCTGGGTGAACCGGGATTCGAACCCACAATCATAGGTTTCTGGCGTGCCCAAGGGACGCAACTCTGCACAGCGAATCGCGGCGCCTTAGACGACTGGGCCACCGTGCCCCTCTTTTAATTGAACACACACACCCTCCCATCCCCAGGATTGTAATGCTCTATTAGGGTTTAATTTAGCCATTAGTTGGTGGAGATTTGATATACCCGGATCCAAACATAAATACATCGGTACCAAGTCAGAAGGTGCCGTCATTCTCTGTGAAGGGATGCGTTCCTCAGCGGGGTTAGGATCCGTGGATCGCGGTTCGAATCTCGCCCTGCTTTTCATTGGTTTGTCAGCACCAAATCGTTAGCATGTGTCTGTTCCTTAGCATGCTACACATCACGAAGGGATGGAACAACGACATGGCTTTAACATGTTTAAACCATACCAATATCCTGGGTTTTACGAAAACGCCAAAGTTTTCCTTCCAAATTGAGCCGACACGCCCTGATATACATGAAGTAGTGTTCGACGCGGCGTGTAACCCAACTCACTCAGTGTATAGGGTCAATGTGTAAGTCTCTTTAATACCTGCCCACATATATACAGAAAATGTACAAATGACAAGTTAACTCTTTTGTAGGTATGTTTTATGGACAACCTTGTCACAGTGACATACATGTAAAAGTACTTCCCTTGTTAATCGACCCGTGAAGATCCGCGTAGAGAATACATATTCAGCAACCCATGTTGTTTGAGGCGACAAACGGGATCGGGTGGTCAGATTGGCTGGCCTGGTTGATGCATGTCATCGTTCCTAATTGCGTAGATCGACGACCGCCGTCATACAGCTGGAATATCGCGTGTGCAGCGTTAAACAACAAACAAATAAATAAATAAACAAATCAAAATCCCATATTATTTGAGTTGTATTGACTAATCTTGGGTGTAAGCCCCGTCGACGTGTCGCCATAGATTTCACGCACAAAATCCGTTAAATTAAGAATTAAGAACTTTTTACTTAATTCGGTTATGTTCACTCAATGGTTTCAGTGCGTTACCGTATTCTTACGGAAGCCTTTCAGGGCCATTTGTTTTTTCTGGAAATTTCAAGTTAGTATCTATGTTATGCTATGTTGAAATTTCAAGATACATAAGTTAATACATAAGTTAATATCTCAAGATTTCAAGTTATTATCTTGAAATTTCAAGATCATTATATTGAAATTTCAAGTTAGTATCTTGAAGTTTCAACTTATGTATCTTGAAATTTCAAGTTAGTATCTATGCTAGGCTATGTTGAAATTTCAAGATGCTACGTTGAAATTTCAAGATACATATGTTGAAATTTCAAGATATTAACTTGAAATTTCAACTGATGTATCAACTTATTATCTTGAAATTTCAAGAAAAAAAGAACGAAAGGCCCCAAAAGGCTCCCGTATTCTCGCTTCAGTATGTATTATATTTTACACTAACAATGACAACACACAAAGTTCACGCAAAACGATTACATACGTACATGTATCTATTATGAGTGTAAAAAGAACAAATTGAAAACAAACATTTATAATGTGTAAAGAAATCCTCGTGAAGGAGCATCAGGGCATGACGTTGTTTGACATTACTAAACATCATTGACGTTACTTAACATCGCTTGACGTTACTAAACATCACTGACGTTACTTAACATCGCTTGACGTTACTTAACATCGCTGACGTAACTTAATATCGCTGACGTTACTTAACATCGCTTGACGTAACTTAACATCGCTGACGTTATTAAACCTTAGCTGACGTTACTTAACATCGCTTGACGTTACTAAA